ATGGCTCCCGACGACAACAGGGGTGTGGCTTTAAAATAACCCCAAAAAAACTGCGTCCCATATTGGGGTGGAAGGCAACTTTACTGCGTCTCCCAGCACAGAAACCACAGGGAGATCAGTACTCTATTATACAAAGATTCCATACCAAACGAAAAGAACTATTCGCAGACACAAACGAAAAGTGAACGTCCCTTCTACATGAATATACAAAGTTACGATTTTGAAAAAGAATACACAAAAATCACTTAACTGAAGTATCTGTGAGAGAAATCCACATGTCCGTCTGGTCAGTTGAAGCTCTGACACACGTGTGAACAAAGAAAATGAAAACTAATCAGCTATCATTCCAGAGACGATGTAAACAAAAATATCACATGACCAGTACTGGAACCCTGCATATTCTGGGAGTCATTTTAGGGCTAACGAGGCACAATTTGTGTCTGGTTTAGGTTATCTTTAGTGTAACCTGGTGACGTTGTGTGATTTAGGTGATCTTTGATATAACCAGGTGGAAGAGTCTGGTTTTGCAGATATTTTATGTAAGCAGGTGAAACTGTTGTCTGGTTTTTGTTTTATCTTTGATGTAAACAGGTGAAATCGTTGTCTGGTTTAGTAGACCTTTGATGTAACCATTTGAAACTGTTATCTTGTTTAGCTGATCTTTGATGTAAGAAAGGTTAGTTGCGTATCCTTTACAGGGTGTTGCAGAACCAACCCCAGCATTGTTTGGCTGTTGTGGTTTTTCTAGGCAAATTTTCTTGCAGTAGCTTGCCATTCCATTCTGGACGGTCAGCTTCTCGATACGATTGTCGAAAGCAACGCAAGGCCCACGGCCAGCAGCTGGGATTGAAACCAACACCCCGGCATTAGGAAGCGCATTCGCAACGCCTAAGCCACCATCGATATAACCAGGTGTCTGGTGTATTTGAAAATGTCCTTACTGTCTACTACCTACAGGTAAACCTGTTGACGGGGCTACCGTTTCTAGGCATCATCCCGACCATCTACCTGTCCGGATACCTGTGTGACAAGCTGGTCACCAGAGGAATCATCTCCAACACCAAAGTTAGGAAGATTAACGACTTCATCTGTAAGTCTGTTCACAGTAGTATATAAATGTGTTTACCTGTTACTTTAAAAAAAAAAATCGTACTTCCTTACTTAAAAACCTTGTACCACTAATAAAAATCATCATCCTCAGCAGCAGAAGCAGCAGCATGTTCCATGTCAACCGGCGAATACAGTCATCTTTCGCTGTCTCCCACGATCATCAGAATCACGGATGCCTTCTCATAAAGCAAAGAACAGTAATGTTCCCTTTTTTACTCCTTAGGCGCATCGGGCGTATGGGAAGAACACAAATATTTGTACAGACCAACTGGTACTAGGTGGGTATTGTGGTCAGCATTACGCCGGCCGTCTTTACTTCCCCAGGACATACATCCTGGTACCCATTTTTTAGGCTTGGTCGATCTGTGAGGCCCCGTAACATGATAAAAATCCACGCAGCCAACAGTGGGTTTGGATCATGGTACGTTGGAATTACGAGTCGAACTCGCAACGCCTAAGCCACAGACGTCGCTCTTTTCTCATAACGTGTCAAAAAAAAAAAAAACTAACTGACCATGACTAATTTCTCTAACGAGTTGATGACTTTCATCTGTCTTGAGGAGGGCTGCTTTGTTTGTTTTTGTAGCATCTATAGATAATTTGAATTAATTGATAATAATACTATTGAAATCATACCCATCGTTAAATTTATTGAGAAACAAAGAATGAAATGGTTTGGTCACCTAATGAGAATGGAACCAACGATGCCAGCATCAAGAGCATACAACATGAAAATCGAAACACCAAGAGGCAGGGGAAGACCAAGAAGAAGATGGATTGAAGGAGTCACGGACAACTTGAGACTTCATAACATCACGGCATATGAAGCGATTGAGCGCGCCCTGGCTCGGTTGCCGATCATCTGATAGACTGCGACGCCTAGCGGCACAAGCAGATTTTGACAAAAGAAGAAGATTGATAATTTGGGTATTTTCTCAAATAAAACTACATCCGTTGCGTTAGTTAGTTAGTTAGTTAGTTAGTTAGTTAGTTAGTTAGTTAGTTAGTTAGTTAGTTAGTTAGTTAGTTAGTTAGTTAGTTAGTTAGTTAGTTAGTTAGTTAGTTAGTTAGTTAGTTAGTTAGTTGGGTTATCCTCATTGCACTCCGGACATGTCCATAGGTGCTCAGATCCTCCCCTCAGTATGAACCCCAACGTCCGATGGCTAATAGTACCAGTTCTATGTTGATTAACAAGTCTTCTGGCGTAGCTGGTGTGCGTCTCGTTTTTTGCTGTGCCGATCTTAATTCCCAAGTCTGCCATTCTGGCGAGTGATGTGGATTCACTGCCACCAAAGTCGTCTATCCTTCCCATTTCTCTGAGGGCATTGATAATATCAGCATGATCCATAGGCTGACCGTCGGTAGTGATAGCGGATCCAGCCAAACCTGTCAGCTCTTTCATTTCCATCGACGCCTGCGTTTCCCGGAACAAAAATAAAGGTGACTCCACGGACAGTGGACTTCTGTAATGATTCAAGCCATTGTCTTCGCACTGCATGAACCTCGGATCATACTCATGTTTTTTTTTTTGTTTTTTGTTTTTTTTTTTTTTTTTTTTTTAATTTTTTATTTTTTTGTTGTGATTTTTGTTGAGTTTTTTTTTTTTGTTTTGGTTTTTCCTGCCTGAACCCTCCGGATCATACTCATTGAATCACTGAGTATACACACGCGGGTGTATTTTTGTGTTTCAAGCCAGGCAAGCGCTTGTGTCACTGCCATCACCTCCATCGTCATGCTGCTGGTTGTCATGGAGAAGGCGCCGTTGGCTTCTTTGACTGTTCTGCCCCCTGAGCGTGCTGTAAATGCCCATGCGCTTCTTCTTTGGCGTATAACGGATCCGTCTGTATAGATTATTGCATCTGCTTCGTCTGAATTTTCACCGATGAGAGCGTTGACCTCTGCATTAACAGCAACAGGATTCTCTTCTCTACATCGCCTGTTGAGTGTGACAATACAGGAAAATGTACAAATAAACGCCTGAGGCACAGGTATCCATTCTGCACCAGGTATGATGTCGGTTAGGCTGCATATTTGCCTAATAACATCTTCTGCCCGACCTAGCCACGATTTCCCCCTCTTCAGTCTGTCGCCCTTTTCACTAAAAAGCGCTTGATGCAGTGGGTGTTTCTTATCAGCACATATTTTGAGATATGCCCGAGCCCTCCACATCCTGATCCTTTGGTTCATTGTTGGAAAGTCAAGTAGGTACCTCATTGCTCCACAGGATGTGTCTCTAGTACATCCCAAAATAATGCGCATGGCTTCATTTTGCACCTTTTCGAGTCGTTCAATCTGGGTAGCACTGACAGTGAGGATGGCCAGAGCGTGTACGTAGCTATGCTTTATTTTCTCTGTTAAACCACCTTTCTGTTCATCTTCTTTTTCTAAGCGTTTGCCGCCTGTTAACTCCATCGGATAGATCTCGTCGTTCGTCCACTTTCGCGCTTTGGTCTGGTTCCAAGACTTGAAATTTGCATGCACAGCCGATTTACAGAACTGGAAGACAGTTGGTTTCTCGCCTTTCAGTAAAACTCCCGTAATCACTCGCCTTGTACGACATGTTTGTTAGGGAACCAGTATGTCATTCCCCCACACTCCCCCTCCCCCCTTTCAACACAATGGAGCATAGTAGCCCTCACTGGAACTTTCTGTAATTACGATTATAATGCAGTTGCAATCTTATTATGCAATCTTTCTTTCTTAATTGAAACGAGAAAGAAAATTATTGAAAGCTATATACATTATATCTTAATAGACGGAAGTGAATCATGGACAGTTGGTAAATTAGTGAAAACTTATTTGGAAGCTGCTGAGGTGTGGTTTTATGGATGATTGATGAGAAACTCTGGACACATTTTTTTTAAAGTAATGAAGATATCTTGAAAGAAACTGACTTACTAACAGAACTGATTGCCCACATCAGAAAGAGACACTCTACATTCGTTGGTCATGTGTTGAGAATGAGAAAACTGGAGTACTTCGTGACAGTAGGAAAGTTAGAGTGGAAGAGAGGCAGAGGGAAACGGAGAGAAAAGATGCTGGACAGTTTGACATCATGGCATGGAGCATCATCTTTGTCAGAGTTGCTTGAAAGTACGCGAGACAGAAGGTTGTGGATAGACATGACTACCAGCGCCACACAGCCTGGACTTTAAGAAGAAGACAGTTGCACGCTCTGTGATCTCCCGTGATTGTCAAGACACTCCAGGAATTCTTATCAGATAACAAGACCGGTTGCTGCATACTCGTTGGTTAAACAGCGGCAGATAATCTATGAAGATAAACAACATTGTATCAAGAGGTTGATCGTGACCTAGAGACAGGAGCCAAGTCGCCCTGACGTTTAGTGTTTCTGTTAGCGAAGCAGGTCGAGTCATGAAGGTGTTTTCTAATGCAAAAGTTAAAAGGTGTAATAATAATAGTTTCGATGATAGTAGTGCAGTGTTAGTAGTAATAGTAGTAGAGTTGGTAGTGGTTGTGGTAGTATTAGTAGTAAAAGCAACAGTAGTAGTAATAGTTGAAGTAAGTAAGTATGCAGCAGCATAAAAGTAGCAGCAGCAGCAGCAGTATAAGTGTAGGCAGTTGTAGCAGTAGTTATGGAACTAATGGTAGTAGCAGTAGTATTCTAGCAATAAAAGTAGTAATCGCAAAATAATAAGTAAGAGTAGCATCATCATTAGTAGTAGTAGTATTAGTTGTAGCAGCAGCAGCAGACAAAGTAATAACAGTAGTATTGGCAGTAGTAGTAGTTTCAGCACTATCAGTAGCACCAGCAGCGACCTAGTAGTAAAAGACGTAAATAATAGTCATAGTGTAAATATAGAAGTAGCAGAGGTGGTAGCAGTAGGAGTAGGGAGAGTAGTAGAGATAATAATAGTAGTAGCAGTCGCTGTAGTAGTAGTGGTGGTTGTAGTAGTAGCAGCAACAGTAGTATTACTAAACGTAATAGTAGTAGTCGCAGTATCGTAGTATAAAAATAGTAGTAAAAGTAAGAGTAGGAGGGGTAGTAGAGATAAAAGTAGTGGCTGCAGTCGTCATAGTAGTTGTAGTAGTAGTAGAAGTTGTTGTTGTTGTCATAGTAATACGAGAGGAGGTCAATAAGTAAGTCACAAATGTTTGTTTAAAAAAAAAACTTAAGTAGATAATAACTTTTTATTCTTTTTATGTGCATTTGATCAAACAGGCAAAATTATCCCAAGCGCCATACTGATTGGTCTGGGATTCCTACCCCAAGAATCGACTGCCGCAGCCTTTGTCTTGAACCTATTGGGTGCCATGTGCATGGGGTTCTCCTACGTCAGCTGGATGGCCAACCCCGTAGACCTGGCGCCAGCTTATACTGGATTCATCGTCGGTGTCTGTGAGGTAGGTCTTGAAATGTATTTTTTCTAGCTCTAGAATTTCAGTAGAAAGAATTCATCATCATCATCATCATAAACCACTTCTGCCGTTAAGCGTCATGGAGAGGAATAATTTGCGATCCAGTGCACGTTGGCTGCCACTGGCTATTGTCATGTCGTGAAGGCGTAGAGTGTCTTTAATGTTGTCGATCCATATTTGCCGTGGCCGTCCTCTTGCTCTTGTAGCTGATCTTCTGAGATATAGTGCTTGTGATGCTATTGAATCTTGCTGCATTCTAACAAGATGGCCAAACCACTTGATCTGCTGTGTCTCGATGAATCTAGTACAAGGTGTCTTTCCCACAATTTGCCTGATGGTTTCATTATTCACTCGATCTCGGATGGTTAGGTTGGCTGCTTTTCTCAGGCATCTCATCTCACAGGTGGTGATTTTGCGTAAATGGGCTTGAGATGGTGTCCATGTTTGGCACTGGTAGCTTAATGTTGGAATGAATTAATATTAATAAAGATTCCATATACCAAAAACAGAAAAACACAAACACCCTACAGGATCTGAACCTTGAGGAGAATTGGCTCATAAACAGCATCTCGTCCCGAAAGCTGAGGTATTGTGGCACTGTTAAACCTCATGGTGACCAGGGGAGAAGGGTCATCGCTGGTAGTTTTCAGAAAACAAGACAAGGGGCGACCTCCGCGAAGGTGGATACAAGTAATTGAAGATGCATTGGCTATGAAAGCACATACGGCTGGGGAATTAGATAGAGAAATGAGAGACGTTTAGACGTTCCGTGGCAAGTGCGACGTTCTGTAAAGGACCTGCTGATGATGATGAGAATTGATATCTCAAGGTTGAGAATCAAACAGGTATAGTTTCCAGACGCTCCATTAACCTACTTATATTGGGCACAATAAAACGGTTAAGAAGAAACCTGTAGTCCAATCTGAGTGGGTCTTGGTGTGAATAATTAAAATATCGTGCAAAATAAATTAACTATGCCAACTTTGTTCACTGTATTGTACATTGACAACTACGAACCTCTTTTAACCACAGTGACAGTTCGGAAAGTGCTGTGGTACTGGTAAAAAAGTAAAGTAAAAATCACTTTTCACGCCTTTAGAGGCATCTGGCATATGGTAAGAGCACCCATACTTTTACGGACTTATCGGCACTTGGTGGATAATGTAGTCAGCATTACGCCGGCCATCTTTACTTCCCCAGGACATACATCCTGGTATACCCATTTTGGGCTGGGTCGACCTGCAACAATAGTACTGGTACAGACATGTAATAAGATGTAACGGTCTCTCAACCAAAAACATTTTTACATGGCTTAGTTAGGGCTGGGGGGGGGGGGGAGGGAAAGAGTGAGAGAGAGAGAGAGAGAGAGAGAGAGAGAGAGAGAGAGAGAGAGAGAGAGAGAGAGAGAGAGAGAGAGAGAGGGCAGACCAAGAAAGACCTGGATACAGAACTAGACTGACTGGACTTTCCTTAGGCATGCAACCATGAAATCAATTGCTTCTAACCCTCAAAGGCTGAGGGAGCTGATCAGTCAACGGCGTCTAGTGACCCATCGACACGCAGTGTTATGGTATGATGATGATGATGATGATACAAACAATAGTGAGCTGTGGTAGCGTAGTGGCTAGCCCTCGCCTGTCGGTCCGAAGATGTTGGATTCGAAGCTACATCCAGTCGAATTATGTTAAAAAGGGCATCTGCTCCCAAGTCGAACTGCCCTAAAATGTAATATTACATTTATTTTCTATTCAGTACATTATTATTATTATTATTATTATTATTATTATTATTATTATTATTATTATTATTATTACACACTTGAACCCCGTGAGGACTACTTGAATATTTGCAAAAGGGACGAGCGCCCCTTTCCCCAATTATTTCGATGTGTTGGCTCCCAGTGGAATGTATTCTGTTGTGGGAGTCTCGACGAGGCAAAAAAGGGGACGTTTTGCATGCCAAGACAGTGGTCCTTGCGTGTGTGAGTGCGAGCACCGGGGGTGCAGTAAGTAAAAAAAAATAAAGGACCCTTTTCCACGCCTTTAGGCGTATAGGGCATATAGGGCTAGACCTATATTTTTATAGACCAACAGCACAAGATGGGTGATGTGGTCAGCATCACGCCGGTCGCCTCTACTTCCCGGGACTCACCCGGTACCCACTCAAGGCTGGGTCGACCTGGGAGCCAAGGTCATTTTTGAAGAAAAGTCCGGCTCCGCCTTGGAGCGAACCCACGACCTTCCAATCCGCGGCAGTATGTGCAGTAAGTACCTGTAAATGTGTAATAACTAGACCCACATTTATAGATAACTAACGATTTGTTGCATCGTTTACAGATCGGAGCTATCTGGGTCGGCATTGCTGTGCCAATTGTCTTTGACGAGATTACTCTCGATGTAAGTACTTAGTAATTAAAACTCAGCCCTAGATCGGTGCTTTCAAATTAATTAAAATATGCGGGTTCCACATTAGTCAAAATGTGCGGATTCCACATAAGTCGAAATGTGTGGGTTCCACATTAGTTAAAATGTGCGGGTTCCACATTAGTCAAAATGTGCAGGCTACAAATTAGTCAAAATGTGCAGGTTACAAATTAGCCAAAATGAGCAAGTTTCAAATTATTTAAAATGTGCAGGTTACACATTAATCAAAATGTGCAGGTTACACATTATTCAAAATGTGCAGGTTACACATTAATGAAAATGTGCAGGTTACACATTAACCAAATATGCAGGCTAAACATTAATCAAAATGCGCAAGTTACACATTAATCAAAATGTGTAGGCAACACATTAATCAAAATGTGCAGGCTACACATTAGTCAAAATGTGCAGGTTACACATTAATCAAAATGTGCAAGTTACACATTAATCAAAATGTGCAGGCAACACATTAATCAAAATGTGCAGGCTACACATTAATCAAAATGTGCAGGTTACATATTAATCAAAATGTGCAGGCTACATATTAATCAAAATGTGCAGGCTACACATTAATCAAAATGTGCAGGCTACACATTAATCAAAATGTGCAAGTTACACATTAATCAAAATGTGCAGGCAACACATTAATCAAAATGTGCAGGTTACACATTAATCAAAATGTGCAGGTTACACATTAGTCAAAATGTGCAGGTTACATTTTAATCAAAATGTGCAGGCTACACATTAATCAAAATGTGCAGGTTACACATTAATCAAAATGTGCAGGTTACAAATTAGTTAAAATCTAAAGGTTCAAATTAGCTAAAATGTACTGACCCCAATGTTTGCAAACGACCCCATACCTTTTAATAGTCAAACTAAAGAATTTTTAATTTATAAATATTAGAATCTCCTAGATCACACAGCCCATAGATCTAGTAATCTTTTAAGACTTCTTCTTCTTCTTCGCTTTCACCAGCTGTAAGCTCTGGCGGAAAGCTCTGGTTGTTTATCCACTTCTGGACTGCAGTCCTGTTCCAGAACCTGAGTGTTGCGTGTGCACCCGTTTTACCGATCTGACTCATTTGTATGCAGACTGCTGGTAGATGTACTCGGACTTTGAAGGAAACTTCCAATTAGTCGACTCTTACGACATGCTTTTGGGTAGGAAGTGGGTCTATTCTTGTTTTCCCTATAACAGGGCCCCGGAACCCACACGGGGAATCTCTTTTGAGACAATCCTGCAACATCTTCACTACAGTCTTATTGGCACTCACGAAACCCTTCACTTGTTGCAGATTTGTTGTTTTTCATCCTCCTCCTCCATTTCCTTATTTTTTCCACATCATCATCACTATCCTCCTCCTCCTCCTCATCATCACTTTCTTCTTTTTCCTCTTCTTTTTCTTCTTCTTTCTCATCTTCTTCTTCTTCTTCTTCTTCTTCTTCTTCTTCTTCTTCTTCTTCTTCTTCTTCTTCTTCTTCTTTTCTGCCCTTGCTCTAAAAACACTGTCGACGCGTTGTTTTGTGGTTTATAGCTAGGCTGCGATATTTGCCTCTTCCAACCCAACACATCCTATTTAAGCAAACCACCAATTAGTTGCCTTTGGACATGGTTGTTTTTTAAATGGGGGGGGGGGGGGGGGGGGTCAATTTTTCCCCAAGATGGCGCCATATATACAAAACAAAATTCAAAATAAAGGACTTAAAACTTTGCCCTTGCGGACAGGCACTACAACATACTGACCAGGTTCTTCAGACTTGCTCTCTGCATACTGCAGCAGAGATCTCAGGTTATGGCCGGTTGACATTCCGGTGGATACCAAGTATAGATATATGGGAGAGATACTCTTATCCTAGAGATGCGGCTAAATGCGTGGTTGCAGATCATAAACAAATACAAATATTGATTGGCACCCATAGAAAGATGCAGAAAGATAAAGGATACACTAGACAACATAACAATTGAAAGCTATAGTTATCATGTGTGCAATAGAACCTGCCACTTCCAAATAATGACAGCGGCCTGCTTCAGGAATAAGTGTACTTAAACGCATGACCACCTAACTATATTAGTACACTTGTTCATACAGCTAGGTGCTTTCTTCATTTGGAGGTTAAGAGTTCGATTAACATCATCATCAGTTTTTGAGAAGAAGAACAAATCGTCATGTTCAACCAGCATATCCGGAAGGGGGAGCTTAAGGTTATAATTGTGACTAGATTTAGTTATGTGCGCCATATGAAATGGCTTAGCATTGTACTCCACTAAAAGCCCAGAACAGGACTCCTGCAGTGTTGATGCGATGAAAGGAGACAGACCCAAATACTGTTCCGACGAAGTCATCTACCGGCGAGCCAATGGGCGACTTGGTCACCAAACTGGATTCGATCCCTGCTGGGCAGATGTTTAAAACCGTTACCCGGTAAATGTGTAAACATACCAACAACTCCCACACTGCTTCACTACTACACCTGAAAGGGATATTTTCTTTTCTTTTGTAAAGGCCCCATCATGTCAAGGGTGCATCAGACATAAGATACTAGACACATATCTGCATACACCACCTGGCATTTAAGTCAGTTGCTGATAAGCGTCGGCGTCTGTGACTCAAGCGTTGCGAACGCGCTTTGCAATGCCTAGGTGCCGGCCTCGATCCCTGCTGCGGACGATCTGTCTTGCGTTGGTTTTGACAGTGGTACCGAGAGCTGACCGTTGAGAGTAATGGCAAACTACTGAACGGGAAATTTATTTTTGCCTAGAAAAACCACAATAGGCAAACAAAATGCTGGGATTGGTTCTGCAACGTCCTGTAAAGGATACGCAATTAACCAACTAAAAAACTTCAAACATTCATTAACTGGTGCCTGCTGAGAATATAAGAAAATGATAGAGCTTTGGGAGAGAAACAAACAAGTTCCTGTGGACCTAGAGGTAAAGAGAAGAAACTGGCGTTGGATAGGACACACGCCGAGAAAACCTGAGAACAGTATAACTAGAATGTCTTTGCACTGGAATCCACAGGGGCATATAAATAAAGGTAGGCCAAACAACACAATGAGAAGGGAGCTAGATAGGGATGTTAAAAAGACGGGGAGGGCATGAGAAGAGCTGCATGCGATAGCGAAGGATATAATGATTTGGCGTGAGTTGGTTGAGGGCCTATGTTCCATTGGGGGTTAAAAGGTAGAATAAGAAGACCTGGTATTAGATGGGTTAGGAGCCGCCCTGGTTTAGTTGCTAGACGCTCTACTGCGGACCCGATAGGTCGTAGGTTCATATCTGAAAGAAGTAGGAATTAAACAAAAAAGGCTCAGCCATAAATGGGTATGAGGTAAAGTCCTTGAAAATAAAGGTGGTCGGTGTGATGATTACCGCATCACCAACCGAGTACCGATTGGTCTTTAAAAAAAGGTCTAGCCCTATATGCCCAATACGCCTGAAAGCGTGGAAAAGAGTCTTTTACTTTTTATTATGAACCCAGTACACAGGAAGGCGGGAAACGGGACCTTTATTTTTCTTTTCTTTTTTCAGATGTGTTACTTATTATTTGTTATTCATATCGACATCCTAACATTTCTGTCCGATCTATTTATGCTCCGTCCTCGGATTCAGCAGCCACTCCATGCTCACAGCTCACAGTACCTGACAGGAGTTGACTGGCATCTTTTTTTTTTTTAATGCCCCACTCTTAGTTTCTTGTCCTCGTTAAATACCCCTTTCCAGCAGGGGATTCATCGTCTGTGACTCCTTTGTCTTAACGTCTCTAGAAAGCAGCGCATTCAGTGTGACTGCCCTGTCCATACTTCTTCAGCTATTAAAGACTGCAGACACGGTCATTCTATCAGCTCTTTCAGTTCCCTTTACCTCGACAGGTTCTGGTGTGTAAGCCAAGGCAGCTTCTTGAGGTGGGACTTCTGGATGTTGTCAACCCATTCTAGTCGGAGTTTGTTACTTTGGATCTGTTTAAGAATACTAATTGAGTCTGTCACTATCAGGGCATAGGTTCCGCCATTCAGGCAAGTGCGCCTTTGATAGCCGCTATCCCTGTACTAGAAGTAACAGAACCGAATGCCAGACTTTCGTTCTTTAATTTTTTTATAATTTACCTGTGCCAAAATGCCCACCTTCATTAGATGGCTTATGGGGTCAACATCACATTGGACCCCCCCCCCCCACACACACACACACAAACACACATCCTTTGACATGTCCATGTACTTTTCTAAGGTTGTGTTCTCTTGGGAGCTTTAGATCAATTTTACAAATCAACCACGATATGGATTTGAACTAAAGACCTTGTAGCCGGCTGGCAAACTTGTTTAATAATAAACAGCATAAAATAAATGTATTTTTTGTTGTTGTCTTTCTCTGCAGAAAACTCGAGAAGAATGGCAGCTTGTCTTCTACATCACGGCTGGGATACAAGCGTTTTGCTTCTTGTTCTATGCAATCTTCGCGTCAGGAGAGCTACAGCCCTGGGCTTTTAGCTCCCTCAAGCACGAGTACGACGTTCTGGACGGACAGGACGATGTGAAGACATCCCTGCTGGACGACGCCATGAGGTCTAAGTCCCACTCTAAACCCGACAGTCAAAATGACGAGTCTCAACGACTTCTGACATCGTTGTCTCTGAGTCTAGGTGGATTTCAAGGGACATCGTCGTATGAAGCCAGTGTCAAACGAAAGATGGATGCTAGAAAGTCTGAAGGCAACATTGGCAGTAGTACAGTTGTCATCAGCGGACCGGCTGTGACTCGAACCCTCTTGCAGTCTGGGCACATACCCAGGGAATCTTTACAACGGCAGGAGAGTCTGTATCGAGCTGCCAGCATTGACGCTCTTGTCGGCGAGATCAGACTCGGCAAACCTTTACCGGAATTCAACGTTTCAAACAGCCAAATGATTCTTCCAAAGCCGACATATTCAGAACCTTTTGGAGCTGTGACTTTTGAAACCGAGCCGTACATTGAGAGCGACGATGACTCGTGGCAAATCATGGCAACTAGATCGCTTCCAAGCAAACTAACCAGCTCGGCAGTACATGGACGAGGCGAGCGTGATCTTCATTTGATTATGTCATCCCCGCTTGTTTCTGAAGAAAATATTGATGACGAATTACCGGGACCTCCAAGAAACATGAAAAGTTTAGCCACAGAGATTGTAGAAACCTTGACCGTTCGTTCTCTGAATGAGCCCATTTTAAACGTTGAAAAAATTAAATCAAAAGCCCCAGGGACCAAGCCACAAAACAGTATTTTTCAAAAACTGAGAATTCACGCAACAAGAAAGAAAAATGAAAATAATGCAGCTTTGACAAAACGGCGAAACGGGAGCAGTAAAATGAGTGAAGCAGCTTTGTACGTTGACCCGAAGTTTACTAGAAATATAATAAATATGAAGCGGGAACACCATTCTTCTCTTCCAAGACTTGCGAAAAAGAAACAGACTTCTCCTTCAGAAGACAATGATTCTAGTCTGAATCTTGGAAACACTAGCAGCATCATGGTGTCCACGGAGGATAGTACAGACTCAACTGATGCCCATCTGAGACATAGGAAAAACACAGCTGATCTGCAGGATGAGCTCAGCAAGGGTAAAACTGAAGTTGCCGGTCTCAAAGATCGAAGGAAGATTTCCAGGGTCGTTAGAAATTTATTTTCATTTGGGAGAAGTAAAAGTACTCCTGATTTCAATCTGTCAAATGAGGAGACGTTTGTTTTCGTCGCAGATGACGAGGTTGAAGATGCTACCAACATTGAATCCTTGGCGAACAAAAGTTTTGACAGTGCCAAGAAAACGAAACAGTCTTCAGTCCGTGGACAGAAGGAGATGCATGAGAAGAGTACCTTGAAATCACAGGGCAACGAAGACGTCGAGGAAGAACAAGTTTTGTTTGCACAGCCTCGCGTGAAGATCTAGCAGGAGATAAAGCTAACAAATATTTACAGAGATCTCGAACATACAGAAAGTAAGTTTGATACTGCTTCAGAGATGTGGGTGTCACAGAGTTCAGTAGCCACAGTTATAATTACAGTAACAATAATAAATAAAATCGGTTGTCAGCCAGATATCTTTAAAGCTGAAACTGGCTCAAGAAACATATATTTCGACGCCGTGTACGGAAGGCCTTGAACATTTAACACGTTCTAAATAGGGCAACGATTACAGTTATCATATGACTCCGTATTGTTGTCCAAGCTGGTGGACGTGAGGTGCATCCTGGAACTGCCAGAAACAAAAATATCACTAAGGGCCCAAGAAGTTAACGTTTATCAGCAAAGAACAGGCGGGATCAGTGGCATTACCCTAGATTAGATATCGAAGATGGGTTTGGAGCATCAATGTATTTGTCCGGAGTGCTGTGGCGACAGACCTCACTAATCTGCTGTACGTTAAGAAGTGATGATATTCTTGTGTACGGCACTAAGTGAAGTACGTTTGTTGTTATTCTTCAGTCAGCTACAAGTGGAGTTTTTTTTTTTTTTTTTTTTTTTGCAACTTTGCTTAAACTACTAAAGTGAAGTTATCTTCTTGCTATTAAACTTTACACTACTCTACTTCACCAAATAATAGAAGTTTGTTGGTATTCTTTAAGCACGCTAAAATAATAAGGGGAAGTTATTGCTGTCCCTCCAGCAGTGTTCAACGCCAGTGGCAAGCAACTGAACATAAAATTGCCTAATAAATCCACCAACAGCCAACAGATAGTGTCAAGAAAGCAAAACCATTTTTAAACTGTGGGCAGAAGGAGATAAATGAGAAAAAAATCTTGCAATCAAAGGACGATATAAACGCGGAGAAAGAGCAAATTATGTTTGAACGTTTTCCTGGTAATATTAAATTTGTGCTCTTCAATGTGAAAAATCAAAATAAAGCACAGGACACTTTTGCACGCTTTCAGGCATGTTAGGCATATAAAGTTACACCTTTTTTTATGTACCAATCAGCAATCGGTGGGTGATGGGGTCAGCATCACACCGGCCGCCTTTACCTCCCAGGACTGTGACTGATTACTCACTCAAGGCTGGGTCGACCTAGGAGTCAAAGACATTTTTTTTTTAAAAGTCCGATTCCGTCAAGACCCGAATCCATCACCTTCTGATCCGCAGGCGAGCTTCTAGCCGCTACACCATGGCGGCCTCCCTCTTCATCGTTTGGTTAGTGCTTCACAGCGCAGCGAATTTTAACGACAAAGAAAACGACTACGAAATACAATTTGAGACTTTTAATTGTCTACTTGATGTGAACCTAGACAACGATTTATATCAAGGACAACAGATAATATTTAACGGCCTCAAGAGTTACTTATGTGAATGACGTAAACACACCGGAACCTACCAATCAAATACCTTTCTTAAATGTTAGTGTATCCTAGACATAGCATTAAGGTCTACTGTGTTCGTAAATTGTTGCTTTGCTTGTTATTCGACCAATGCTTCGTTAATATACATTTATGTAACCTATGGTGCTATTTCAATGGTTTGAAATTAATTATGTCCGTATACCTTAGTTGTGGATTTCAAGCATGACGATAGACATGGCCATTAGAACATCCTTTTTTTGTGTGTGAGTTTCTTAGTTGACCACGTTCTTAGTGCACCTGTTTCCATAGCGAGGCGCACACGCCGTCTGGAGGTGACAGGTTCGATTCCCGGCATGGAAATTATGGCTTTAGATATTTTTTTTTTTTTGGGTGGTGTAGAGTGTTTATTTATTTCTACTTCTCTTTATGAGTGCCCATCAATACATTTTCTGTTACTTTATTATTATATCAAGGACTGACTAGTTTGCCTGTCCTTCAATTGACGTAGAATATGCCATCTTCCAGACTCAGTCTATGCAGTATAGATGTGAAGTAGCTTTCATATTTTAAAAGTAGGCTTCTCTGACGATTTATTGCTCTATTGGTTGGTTAGTATGCCGGTACATAGCTTGTTTGATTATTTGGTTTCTTGACTGGTTAGTTCGCTGATTGGTTTATTGATTAGTTGGTTGACTAGTTATTTGAATTGTTTGTGAAATGGGTGGTTGATGTGATTGTATCTTATTGGTTGTTTGATTATTTGGTTGAGTTGTTAATTTGTTGCGTTGATTGAATTATTGATTTTTGATTGGTTGGTTGTTTAGTAGGCTTATTATTTGACTAAGTTGTTGATTGATCGATTGATTGAGTGATTTAAGGCTGTAAGTTCTAGCTCTTGATTCGATGCATGCCATTCAGGTCAAGTGTTTTCTGAAAACTACTTGCATCTCTCGGTTTGCTTGGAAGTATATCACAATCTAGAATCCATAAATAGAACACTTCATTGATAGTAGGTTGCGTATCCTTTACAGGACGTTGCAGAACCAACCCCAGCATTTTTTGTCTGTTGAGGTTTTTCTAGGCATATTTTACGTTCATTAGTTCGCCACTGTTTGCTAGCGGTCAGCTCTCGACACCAATGTCGAAACCAGAGTAAGAGAAATTGTCCGCAACTGGGATCGAACTACTCCATTGACAGATTGAGACCTGATATTGCAGAACAAGCAACACGTAGACTTGTTCTGATATACCACACAATATATGAGGTTTAGCAATTGTAAATGCAATTTTACAATCTCGACATACCCAGGTTTGAAGCCACATGCCTGAGATTTGTTTAGTGATGATTACAGCAGTTTAGGCGGCGTTCCGTTCAGGGACAATGGCAAACTTCTAAACGTAAAATTGTCAATAAAGAGCCTCATAACAGCCACAAAATGCTGGCGTTGATTTCTGATGTCTGGGAAAGTTCTTGTAACTAAGTAATGCTTATGCCACACTAGACTGTGACAGACTGTTCTGAAGAAAGTTTCGGACTGTCTTACAAGACTGCTTTCGGAACAGTTCATATTGTCTTAATCATGTAAGCAATTGTTCGGTATAGAATAATTTAATGTCTGTTTGTTGTCCTGTCTCATGTTTCTAATTTCAGAGCCATTTATTTCATGAAACTGTATTGCAATTAAGCAGAATACAAATAAAGGTTTGTTTTCCATTTTTGACAGCTTTGGCTCACCATATAAATGCTTTTATATGAAACAACATATGATAATTACGTTCTGCTATGTATATGTCAGACAGAGCTCCCAGCTGGCTCATCTTTCCGTTCTTCTCCTTCTCTTTCATATTCTCCACCACTTTCGACTCAACAAATCCGATTTTAGCAACACCTAAATTGTCGCCTTTATTATCATACTTCTTAGGGAACAGTGAGTACACCCCCCCCCCCCCCCCCCCGAACACACACACACCCACACACAATGGGGCCCAATAACCCACACGGGAACAACTGCATTTTATCTGTATAGTTTCGATATCAAGATTCATATCATATATGGAGATTGTCAGGAATCTCTAGCTTTTCTACGCAATGCTCGTACCTAGGCTTTCTCTTAGATTTCCTCGCTTCCTTTATCCATTTGTTTCCCAATACAGGGCCAGTTTTGTCTCAGAATGTATCCAATATATTGTCATTAATCGCAAAACTTCTTTACAAAACAAAACACACAAAAACCAAAACAACAACAACTAAAAAAAAAAAAGGAACAAAAAGGGAGGTGTTTTCTTCACATCTTTTAAATTTTTGATTGTCAACAAATATAAAGCAAAGCCTGGAGAAAAAATGTCATTCGTAATTATTTTCACAAACAGCTGCAGAGCATTTATAAACAGTTGTCTATAAATGCGAATTAAAAACAAAGACAAAAATGGTTTGGTCACCTCGTGAGAATGAACCCTACCATGCAGGCAGCGAGAGTACGCATTGTGAGAATGGAAATACCAAGAGGCACAGGGAGTCCTATAAGAACATGGATTGACAAAGACAGACAGTCGAACTTCCGGTCAAAGTGGACGATAGGCACAGTCACTGTTCTTAGTTGTGGCACATGTTTGTTTGTTTGATAGAAGGTGGCCGTTGCAGTTTTCTCCATTTGTAGACTAAATAGGTATCGTTTGTCGCCCAGCTACTGAGTTGTTGAGTGCATGGCATGACACTGTGAGATACGGATTTCTCTTGGAATATGTTTCGACTGTGGCCAATGAGGTGTTGAGCTGTAGATTCAGAAAATGGCTCGTAGCCTGTTGCCCCAGTGTTGGTTGAGCATTATGTGATTACAATTGATTGCGTGTGCAATAGCTGATCTTTTTGTAACTGCTGCTTCCGTCTATGTGGAACTGCATTTCTAATGACAGACGGATTGTGTTAGCACCTATGATGGCTGTCTTATGCTTTTAATGCTTGTTTATGCTGGTAGATATGCTGAGACTGCAGACTGTGCTAATTTTTCCAATAGGAGCAGTGATAGACATTATGTGTGTTTTTCGTTGGCACGAGCGGAGCAACTATGGGTTGACCCGTTTGATGTGAAGCTGAAACTAAGATTACCAAGATTACCCAGACTGACAGCCTGGCAACTGAGCGCCCCCTGGCAGTGTTGAACGAAAGAACTTCATTTCCACAGGGTTAAAATTGGGCACGCTGGCCCGTCTTACATTCGGCCCTTCAAGCATTTATCTTTCAGGTGGCATTTGCCTTTCATATAGCTTGTTTCGGGTTCGTGGTGAGACATGCTTCGATTGTAAAGTCTATATTTCAAGGATCATTGGGGATAGTCGAAGTAGAACGGGAAGGAGGGGTGGGAGGCTGAAATGAAAACATCAAGAAATGGACAGGACTAAATTACTATACACTTGTTCAACAAACAGAAGTCAGAGAAAGATGGCAGGTTTTGTATTCTAGTGCTTCGATTGCTACACCCCCAGGGCCATAACGGGTCAAGGACCATGTATGTGCGCATGTAGTAGGGAAGAACAGTTTACGATCCATTTCTCGATGAACAGCACTGGCTATTGTCATTACGTGTTGACGTTGAACGAAATAAGTTGCCTATTCTTT